ACATAGAAGGAGGTAAAGCTGGTGAGTCCAATTTCTACCTCGTGTGGGGTGCCATTTATTTATGTCATTGATCATGCCTAGAGCCTTCCAGAGAGAGGCCAAGTGAGACTTTTGCCTCAGAGATGGTTCCAGCCAGGCTCAGAGGAAGAAGGAAAGAGACCAACCCCTTTAGAAGGAACGCTTTTTAACCCTAAGTCATTGTGTCTTAAAGGAAAGGAACTTTGTTACTAACTATAGAGAATAGTCAGGTTATATTTCAAATCTATCCCTTTTTGTTTTGAGATGGAGTCTTGCTCTGTTGCCCAGGCTGGAGTGCAATTGCATAATCTTGGCTCACTGCAACCTCCACCTCCTGGGTTCAAGTGATTCTCCTGCTTCACCCTCCAAGTAGCTGGGATTACAGGCACGTACCACCACTGGATCTGACTAATTTTTGTATTTTTAGTAGAGACAAGGTTTCGCCATGTTGGCCAGGCTGGCGTCGAATTCCTAACCTCAGGTGATCCACCCACCTGGGCCTCCCAAAGTGCTTGCATAACAGACGTGAGCCACCTCACCTGGCCCAAATCTATACTTTGAAATGAGATATTTTGGGACTTGTTAAGTGTTTAAATCTTTGGAGAACTAGGAACAGATATATTTATCTTCTTTCTTGTAATTGTGTTTTAGAAAGTTATTTATTTTCACCACTAAATACTTTATTATTTCATTCACAGATACATCATTATGTATTTCCTAAGGACCTTCTGTTACATAACCACAGACCAATTCTCAAAATCAGGAAATTTAATATTGATACAATACTATTTTCTGATTCATAGTCTATACTCAGTGGCATCAGTTGTCCCCAGCTATTTTTTCCCCTAGGCCTTAATAGCTGTTTGCTCCCCCACGCTCCTCCCTGCCCTACGCCCCCATCCAGGATCTAACCCAGGATCCCACATTGCATTTAGTTTCTTCTAATCTGAAACAGTTTTTGGAGGATTATTTCACATATATGTTGAGGTATACACAGCTAGTCCCAGGATCCTTGTCTTCTAATTCTCATTCTGATCCTGATTTTTTATGGCATTCTGGGGAAAGTTGCTACTTCCTTGAGAGGAAAAGGATTATATTTGAATGTAACTCATTTGTGTAATTTAATTCCTACCAACTAATAGGTTTGGTAGCCCCAGGGGGTATATTGGCTGAGGGAGAGGAGATAGACTGCTGATGGTTAGACTCTGCATGTATTTTGAACTGCTTAGACATTAGTGATCTTCATTGGTTCTGCTAGTTTTGAAGCAGAATATTTCCCTGACCCCCTCATGGGTGGGAACTGGAGTGCATGGGGGCCAGCACGGGTGAACTCCACTCACTTAGAGCTCTACTCATTGTGGGAGGAGGAGCACAAGTGAGTGGATGCAGGAGCTAGGGAAAGTGCATTTGGGTTCTGGCAATAGCAAACTCTTTATTGGCCTTGTGGCAGGATCTAGGGGGAGGGTGCCTGTGAGCCCTGAAGCCCCAGAGGAAGTGTAACAGTGCCCTTTTAGGTTTGCAATCTGTGGATAGCTTAAGTGTTAACAGCTCAATGGAGGGTCAATGTGACAGCGTTTTGTAGCCAGCCTCGTAGCACCTGAGTTCTTGTTTGGCATCCAGAAGGAATGAGATCACATGAACGAATTGAAGGTGGGGATTTTATTGCTGATGAAAGTGGCTCTCAGCCAGAAGGGGAGCTGAAAAGCAGACAGAGCAGGACTGTAATCTTCCCCTGGAGTCTGGCCGTTCCTGGCCAGACTCCTCTCCAAAACTACACCATCAAACTGTCCCTCTGAAGTCAAGCCACTTTTCTCTGACATCCAGCCATAGTCTCTGATGCACACCTGCTTCCTCTCTCTGCTGGCTGAGCCTGAGGTTTTTATGGGTGTAGGATGTGGGGCAGGATGGTCCATGGGTGGTTTTGGAAAAGGCAACATTTGAGAGGGAAAAGGAAGTAAGTTCTCACTTTGGGTCATGGTTCCAGGCTTGAGGGTGGGGCCCTTGCCGGGGAACTGCTCTCTTTTGACCAGAATTTCCCTGCCTCCTGTCCCTATCAGTTTTCTCCTAATTCTCATGATCAGCTTTATTATTAATTAAAATATGGAAAACAGTGCATCTGAAACAAATTTGGTTCATGTGAGAGTCTTGTCTTCCTTTGTGAATTGAGGGGGTGAAACTCACTACATATGTCTATTTACAAACCCCTGTACCATTTAATTACTAAGTCAACTAGAAGTGTGACTTTTTATAGTTTAAAGGTACAATTTAGGGGCATGTGTTCTCAGGACCTTTGAGGCTGTATCACAGGCAAACAAACAAAAAAGTTAAATAAGTAGTATAAAGATTTAAAAAGGTACAGTTTACCTTTTGCGTTGAAATAATTCCACAGTTTTTTTTACATACGCGAAATCAAGAAATTGATCTTCAAACTTTCTGTTGCACTTTGCAGACAGAAACTTTTTACCCTGATTTGCCACTTAAATCCTTGTGGCACTAGATTTCCAACACCAACAACCATGTCTCCAAACAGCACATGGTGTTTCCAACACTGACAACCAATTTTCCAATTCTCTGGACACCAACTAGATGTTCAACAGTGTTCAATTCTGACACTGCCAGGAGTTGGCGCAATTACCACAGGCTAAGGGCTCAGTCTTACAATAACACCCCCACTTTAAACGTCAGTCTTAAGTCTTGGCCCACCAGTAACTTCTGACCAACCAGCTGTGAATAGGGCATTCCCAAGATCCTGCCTCAGGTTTAGTAATTTGCCTGAATGGCCCATTGAACTCAGGAACACACTTTACTTAGGTTTACCTGTTTCTTATAAAGGAAACAACTCAGGAACAGTAAAGTGGAAGAGGTGCAAAGGACAAGGTATGGAGGGAGTGGAGCGCAGAGCTTCTGTGCCCTCTCCTGGTGTCACCCTCCTAGCACTTTGATGTATTCTCCAACCTGGGAGTGCTCTGAATCTCATTGTTAAAGAATTTTTATAGAGCTCAGTTTCCAGCCCCCACAACCCTACTTCTTAGAGTTCAGTGGGTGGGGCTGAAAGTTCCACCCTCTAGTCCCTGGTCATTCTAGGGACCAGGTCTTTACAGTCCCACTCTGAGGCTATCTAGGGGCCCCACCCTAAGTTTCTTTATTAGCATAAACTGGTGTGATCAGATGGGCTGATTATGAATAATAAAAGACACTCCTATCACTTAGGAAATTCCAAGGGTTTTAGGAGTTCTGTGCTGGGAACCTGGGACAGAGACCAAATATATTTTGTATTATACTACAAGCACCACAAAGGGCCTGCTGCTGACTAATATTACCATTCATTTTAGAACTGTGAGAAGCAGATCCAAAATAGTTTATTTATGTCTTGAAGCTAAGTGCAAGTCACTGGCAAAGTCAGAGTGGAAAAGCATTAATAACCATACAAATGCAATAAATAGTATGTTATTTTCTGTAGAATATTTTGAAAATACAAAAGTATATATCACAATGTAGATTTCATTAAAACTTTTATTTGTAGTAGATACCAACTAAGGAAAAACTGTAGTCTAGAAACAACCTATATGCCATGTAGGTGTAGCTATTTTAAAAGAATTGGTAACTGAAAATCTAAGTGACCAGTGTCAGCTCAGAAAATCGGTGGTGATTATTATTGAGACAGGGCCTCACTCTTGTCACCCAGGCTGGAGTACAGTGGCGCAATCTGTGCTCACTGCAACCTCTGTCTCCTGGGTTCAGGCAATTCTTCTGCCTCAGCTTCCCAAGTAGCTCGGACTGCAGGCATGCACCACCACACCCGGCTAATTTTTGTATTTTTAGTAGAGACAGGTTGGCCAGGTTGGTCTTGAACCCCTGGCCTCAAGTAATCCACCCACCTTGGCCTCCCAAAGTGCTGGGATTATAGGCATCAGGCAACGTGCCCAGCCCAGTGGTTATTATTTGGATTATAAAAGAATTCATATAGGATTCCTGCCACAGTTTCTTTAAAAGGACTTTGTTGAAATGCTACTTCCACAGAGCTTTTTGGGATCAGGTCTGGTGAGTAGTTTGACTAGACATAGTCTTTGTCACAGTTCATACTGAATGTTTGGGCAGCTATGAAGGGCAAAATCTCCTCTGTGCACAGCTTGTATTGGTCTGGGCATAAAAGCACCCAGACTGAGATCTGTGGCTCTGTGATAGAGCTCAGGAGAGGGAGGATCCTCAGAGGACTTGTACTTTGAGACAGGTAAGGGAGAATGGTGGAGTGGTGATTGGGGAGTTGGAAGGATGAGACACTGAGCATGGCTTGGCTTTTCTCCAAGCCTCTCAGTCTCATTGTCTAGCAGATAAACTGATCTGCTTTTAAACTGTTCTGAACTCAGGGCTGACTTAGGCTTAGGGAAGTCTGAGGAAAGTGGGCCCTCCATGTCCCTGCCATGTGGGCTCTTGTTTCTGTAGTCACCATTCTTTTTTCTTTTTTTTTTTGAGTTAGGGTCTTACACTGTCCACCCAGGCTGAAGTGCAGTTGTATGGTCATGACTCACTGGAACCTTGAACACCTGAGCTCAAGTGAGCCCCTGCCCTCAGCCTCCCAAGAAGCTGGAACTATAGGTGCGCACTAGCATGCCAGCTAATTTTAAAATGTTTTGTAGAGATGGGGTCTCACTATGTTGTCCAGGCTGGTCTCAAACTCCTGGGCTCAAACGATCCTCTCACCTTGGCCTCTCAGAGTTCTGAGATAATAGACATGAGCCACTGCACCTGGCCTGTAATCAGCATCTTAAGAAGTTAGAGCTGTGTGGAAAGAGATACAGCAGTCACAGGTCGAATGGTAGCATACTGCATATACAGGAGGTAACAGCACGCAAAGCCTTTGTTCACAAGCAAAGCAAAGAATTTGTTTCTCATTCTTTTTTTTTTTTTTTTTTTAGATGGAGCTTTGCTCTTATTACCGAGGCTGGAGTGCAATGGCATGATCTCGGCTCACTGCAACCTCCGCCTCCTGGGTTCAAGCAATTCTCCTGTCTCAGCCTCCCAAGTAGTTGGGATTACAGGCATGAGCTACCATGCCTGGCTAATTTTGTAATTTTAGTAGACAGGGTATCTCCATGTTAGGCTGCTCTGAAACTCCCTACCTCAGGTGATCTGCCTGCCTTGGCCTCTCTTCTTTCTCATTCTTGTCTCATTCTTTGTATCCAGAGATCTTATTTTTGTCTTCTTTTTATCACCTTCATATTATACTGGTCTGATGGTGTGTGTGTGTGTGTGTGTGTGTGTGTGAATTTTTCAGAGCTCAGATTTCTAGATGGTGGGGCAGTGTATTACATAGGCTTCTCATAGCTCAAACTGTCATCCCTGCTTTAGCTCATCTCTTCCAAATTGTTTTCCACTCTTTATCCCCAACAACTTTTTTTCCCTGCTGGCCATGATTCCATGGAGAAGGAATTGAACCTTTCATTTGCTCTCCTCAGAGTGACCTTCTGGAACTTTACCTCCATTTACTCAAAATGTCTGGGAATAATCCTGTAGGGATGTGCTATTCAATGACTTCTTACATGAAGGGCCTAAGCCAGGAAAGTCTTGAGGGGGAACACAGAGAACCTCAGCCCTTGTCCATTTTAAACCAGCGTGGATGGCAGAGATTGAATGGTAAAAGTAAAACTTTGATTTTGCAAATGTAGCATTAACTTCACTCATTGAGAAAGCTTGCCTTTGATGGCTACTTACATTTATAAAATAATCTATCAGGCCAGGCATGGTGGCATATGTCTAATTCCCAGAACTTTGGGAGGCTAAGGCAGGCAGATCACGAGGTCAGGAGTTTGAGACCAGTCTGGCCAACACAGTGAAACCTTGTCTCTACTAAAAATACAAAAATTCGCTGGGCGTGGGTGGCGGGTGCCTATAATCCCAGCTCTTCAGGAGGCTGAGGTAGGAGAATCACTTGAACTCAAGAGGTGGAGGTTGTGGTGAGCCAAGATTGTGCCACTGTACTCCAGCCTGGGCAACAAGAGTGAAACTCCGTCTCCAAAAATTAAAAAAAAAAAGCTATTAATAATACATTTGTAAAATATATATTATTTTTGTATCAGATAAATCTTATGTTTTGTTGTTGTTGTTCTGAGAGAAGGTCTTACTATGTTTCCCAGGCTGGAGGACAGTGGCACGATCACAGCTTACTGCAGTCTCAAACACGGGCTTCCCAGGCTAGTCTCAAACTTCTGTTCTCAAGCATTCCTAAAGTGCTGCAATTATGGGTGTGAGCTTCTGTGCCCGGCCTTTTTGAAGACAGTGTAGAACAGTTCAAATATTTTACGATGTTCACGTGTAATTTGGTCCTCTGCATATTTTAAAAATGTAAAATTCTTTCTTTGTGACACCTGAAAATTTCACAGATCTTAAAATCTTATAGTCTTAGAACAGCAGTTCTTAAACTTTTTGCTCTTAGGACCCTCTTATACTCTTCCACTCCCCCCTTAATTGGGGCAGCCTCTTGAGCCAGAGTGGGCTCAGAGACTCCCTGAAAGGCTCTTTAAACCATAATTTTGACATTGTGGTTCCATTGAAAGGGTCCTGGGGACTCCCAGGGTTTCCTGGACCACCCTTTGAGAATTGCTGTTTTAGAATCTAGAAGAGATCTTGAAGATTAACACAGGCCCATTTCTCGTCTGGGTTGGAATAAGAGGAATGATTGAAGCTGAGGGAGAATTGACTTGCCCAAAATCATTCAGCTATTTACTCATAGAGCTGTGGCTGGAATTAGGTTTCTTGAGTGATTGTGTAAACATGCCTCTAGGGCTATGCTAGGTTCTGATTCCCTGGGCCAGGCTCCATTGTACTATCTTTTGGAGGTAGTTGTCTCCTGTGTAGAGAGTTGTCTCCTGTGGTCCTGGTCCTTCGAATCTTGAATGCATTTGTTCACCTTTTGTTTCTTTTTTTCTCTTAAGTTTCAGATTGCCAAAATTCTCATTATATTTCCAAGTGAAATGTTGAGCTGTCATGTCAGTGTAGCTCTGTGGCTGCTTTGTGTGTTTCTAAATTTTTTAAAAGTAACTGATAGACACTCAAAAAGCATTGAGGTACATGGTGGTTTGAAAGTATGCATTGGGTGTGACTGGAGTAGTGTCTGTTTTACATAGGAAGGTATTTGGAAAGAAATTTAATAATCCACAGTGGATCTCTAAGCAGACTGAAAGAATTCTGTGAGTTCCCAGTGAGTACTATACTCAGTGAACCGATCTCTTTTTTTTTGTCTTTGAATTATATAAATTCCTTGACTAATTTTTTGTAAAGGGTGTTGACCAAAGCTTTGGACTGAATATTTTCCTGCTGTTCTTTTTTTAAAAATTTTATTTATTTGTTTTTTGAGACTAGCTTTATTACTCAGGCTGGAGTGCAGTGGCCCAGTCATGGCTCACTGCAGCCTCAACCTCCCGGGCTCAAGTGATCCTCCCACCTCAGCCTCCCAAGTAGCTGGGACTACAGGTGCACGCCACTATGGCTGGCTAATTTTTGTATTTGTGTGTGTGTGTGTGTGTGTGTGTGTGTGTGTGTGTGTGTGTGTGTATTTGTAGAGATGGAGTCTTCCTATGTTGCCCAGTCTGATCTCAAACTCCTGGGCTCAAATAATTCTCCTGCCTTAGTCTCCCAAAGTGCTGGGATTACAGGAGTGAGCCACCATGCCTGGTCTGTCTTTCTACTCTTAAAAGAATTTCTTCTCCTTGTAAATTAGCTCAAATCCAGTGTTTTGTTTATATATTCTTCAAGAAGAAAACAAGTCATTTGCACTTGCTATGGACTTGCTTTGAGACCATTTGGCAGAATTTAGTATTACTCAGGGTCACCAAAATTAATGAGGACATGGCAGTCTGGGAAGGATCCTTTTATTTAAAAGGAACAATCATGATGCTATCAAGGACCATAATGACGTCTTTGAAATTTCATGAGGCAGCCTCACAGTGATGAGGCAGCGTGTGTGCTCAGAGTCTTATGATTCCCGTGTGAATTCTGCAAGCCTGGTGGTCTGCTTTGTGAACAAAGGCTTTGTGTGTGTGTGTGTGTATGTGTGTTTGTGTATGTATGTGTGTGTGTGTGTGTTTCCTCCTGTGTGTACCCTAATATCCCCACCTTGCCATGCCTCATGTCTCTTAAGGGCTGTGCCTGCATGATTAATTCTGCTGATTCTTGGCCAGGTACCACTCTATTGACAGGTGCTATTGTCTTTGAACTTAGCAGGACAGAACAGTGTTTTCCTTTACTCTCAAGATTGCTATGAGGTGCTAGGCTAGGATTGGCTATGGATTTCTTCATAATTATAGCCTCCTTTTAAGAACCCAATATATTGAACTGTAGACTTAGTAAAATACTTAGGGGTTGAATATTTGCTTTTCAGAATGGTCTTCTGTAAAGTTCTTTTAAATAGCTAGTTCTCCAGTTTCATTGAAATATAATTTGATTCCCAGAATTTGCTCTGTAGGAACATGGGTCCTCAGTAAGGTGCAGCATACCCGTTATTGCTCTCCTGGTTTCTGGTACAGCTAGTGCTCGACTTACGACCACGATTGGTTCCGACAGACCGGTCGTAACACAATTTGGTCGTAAGTTGAGTAGGCTATATGCACGTGGAGATGGTAGTGCTGCCGGAACCTGGTCCGCACTGTCGTATGCTCAGCTGGGCAACGTTTGCGCTGCCAGATGCGGAGCAGTCATAGCTAGCGATTGTGGTCGTAAAGTCGAATGGTCATAAGTTGCATAGGTCGTAAGTCGATCAATACCTGTATTAGAGACAGAGCCCCTCCTCACTGGAGACTGAAGCAGTGTTTTGCATAGAATGAGGAGCAAATGAGGGAGATGGATTATTTTCTTTATCACTCCCCCCTCCCCCGACATCACCAACCATGTGTGTCTACCTAAGAGCTGAGTACTGAATCAAGGCTGCCTTGTGTTCTGAAAGGCTATGCCCACATGGAGGTATGTGTGTGTGAGGGCGGAGCCCCTTAGAGACAGAATACAGCTGACTGCTGCCCCCCAAGGCCAGCTTTTCCCCTGCGATTTTTGCTTGTTGCCTGCACTCAAGTGATCCTCCCACCCCCGTCTCCCAAATAGCTGGGACTACAGTTGCACACCACCATGCCCAGGTATTTTTTATATATCTTATAGATGTGGGGTGTTGCTGTGTTGCCCAGGCTGGGTCTTGAACTCTTGGGCCAAACAGTCCTCCTATCTTGAACTCTCAAAGTGCTAGGATTACAGGTGTGAACCACCGCACTAGGCTCTGTTGTCTGTTTTTTCTTTCTTTTTTTTTTTGAGGAGTCTCTCTCTGTTGTCACCATACAATTTCTTCTCTAGGATGACAGGCATTCAGATTACCTAAAAGTACTTGCTAATTAAAAATGGTTCTCTAAAATCAGCCAAGCACATTGCAGAGAAAATACTCTTTTTTTTGAGATGGAGTTTCACTCTTGTTGCCTAGGCTGGAGAGCAATGGTTTGGTCTCAGATCACTAGAACCCCTGCTTCCTGGTTCAGGCGATCCTCCTGCCTCAGGCTCCCAAGTAGCTGGGATTACAGGCATGTGCCACTGCGCCCGGATAATTTTGTATTTTTAGTAGAGATGGGGTTTAACTATATTGGTCAGGCTGGTCTCGAACTCCTGACCTCAGATGATCCGCCCACTTAGGCCTCCCAAATTGCTGGGATTACAGGTGTGAGCCACCATGCCTGGCCAAAACACTCTTATCTCAAGGAGTCTAGGATGAAAGAGAGGGGTTATGCTGATTACAATCATTGACTTCCAAATACGTAGTAGTTGCTAATGAATATACTAACATTCAGAAATAAATTTCACTACAAATATTAAGAAGTAAATTTTACTTCCAAAGTTGTTGATATCTAATTGATTTTCTACTTCCTTTCTAAAACCTATTAAATGAACCAGAGACACAGGATAGTCATTTCTTTTTTTTTTTTTTTTTCCAGGATAGTCATTTTTACAGAGATTTGAAATCTGCCAGGTCATTAAGTGAATGGTAACTCAGGATTAGATATGAATTTGTATTTGCCAATCACATTTCTCCTCTGTCCCTTAATGCCCTTTGTAGATGTTTTTGGGAGTGAGTTATTAATGCAGAAATTTAAATTTTATTATTAGATCATTTCACAGCTGTTTTTTATTTTGTCTTGAGAGGCTAAGTACATGAACCATCTGGACACACACACTTTTTTTTGAGATGGAGTCTTGCTGTTGTCCCCCAGGCTGGAGTGCAATGGCATGATCTTGGCTCACTGCAACCTCCATCTCCCAGCTTCAAGTGATTTTCCTGCCTCAACCTCCTGAGTAGCTGGGATTATAGGTGCCAGTCACCATGCCTGGCTAATTTTTTTTTTTTTTTTGAGACGGAGTTTCGCTCTTGTTACCCAGGCTGGAGTGCAATGGCACGATCTCGGCTCACCGCAACCTCCGCCTCCCGGGTTCAGGCAATTCTCCTGCCTCAGCCTCCTGAGTAGCTGGGATTACAGGCACGCGCCACCATGCCCAGCTAATTTTTTGTAGTTTTATTAGAGACGGGGTTTCACCGTGTTGACCAGGATGGTCTCGATCCCTTGACCTCGTGATCCACCCACCTCGGCCTCCCAAAGTGCTGGGATTACAGGCTTGAGCCACCGCGCCCGGCCTATGCCTGGCTAATTTTTGTATTTTTAGTAGAGACAGGGTTTCACCATGTTGGCCAGGCTGGTCTCGAACTCCTGACCTCAGGTGATCCACCCCGCCTTGGCCTCCCAAAGTGCTGGGATTACAGGCATGAGCCACCACATCCGGCCACACACACTCTTGATTCCTGTTATTTCTAACTCTGAACAGTCCTAAGTTCTAGTTTTCTAAAACTCTAAATAATCTAATTTGCTTTCCTTTTTTTCTTTTCTTTTCTGTTCTCTTCAGGAGAAGATGGATGTTATGTTTCAAATTATCTGAAGCTTAATAAGAGATTGCAGTTCTGCAGTATATTTTATGTTAAATAATTAGAGACTTGTATCTAAATTTTTAATTTTGGGAGGTAGGAATTTGAGGATGGTCTGATTGTTGATGTATTTATCTGCAGCAGTTTGTCTTATAAAAGATTATTTACCTCTTCTGTGATTTTGCTATGAAAATTGGAGGCTGGGCACAGTGGCTCATGCCTGTAATTCCAGCACTTTGGGAGGCCGAGGCGGGAGGATCACCTGAGGTCAGGAGTTTGAGACCAGCCTGGCCAACATGGTGAAACCCCGTCTCTACTAAAAATATAAAAATTAGCTGAGTGTGGTGACGCATACCTATAACAGCTGCTCGGGAGGCTGAGGTAGGAGAATCATTTGAACCCTGGAGGTGGAGGTTGCAGTGAGCTGAGATCGCGCCACTGCGTGCCAGCCTGGGTGACAGAGTGAGATTGTATCTCAAAAAAAGAAAAAAGAGAAAAGAAAGAAAATTTGAAATATACAGAAAAATTGGTCAGTGAATTCACAAGTTAACATTTTGCTGTACGTAGTTTATCGCAGAGCTACCCAACTAGCCATCTCTTTACCATAATTTTATTTTATTTTACCCTCAAGAAGAAATGGCCTTTATAGCTAATAGTAAAGTGATAAAAGAGACAGACAGACATGCACAGTGCCTGACACATGGTAGACATAGTATGGCAGGTTGGCAAATGAAGGACTGCATGTCAATGAATGAGTAACTTGAGTAAAACATACTTCTAGCTCCTGAGTACTCCCAGCCATTCCTGCTCTGCCGCTGGTGCTCACTCTACCTGGAACACACTCCCTCCAGATGTCTGTATGGCTTCCTTCCTTTTGGTTTCTGCTCAGCGAGAATTTCACTGACCTCCCTATATAAATTAGCAGCTCCTCCTGGCACACACCAGCCCTGAGCACTCCTTGCATGCTTTGTTCTGCTTCCGCTTCCTGCTATGTCCCCAAACCCTAGACTAGCACCTGGGATTATATACAGCTGCTCCTTCATGTACAATGGGGTTACATCCTGATAAATGCATTGTAAGTTGAAACTATTGTAAGTTGAAAGTCTGTTTAATGCACCTAACCTACTCAACATCATAGCTTGGCCTAGACTACCTTAAAGGTACCCAGAACACTTAACACTGTCTTAGCCAGGCATGGTTATATGTGCCTGTCTTTCTAGCTACTCAGGAGGTTTTAGGCCGAAGGATTGCTTGAACCCAGGAATTTGAGGCTGCAGTGAGCTATGATTGTGCTACTGCATTCCACTCACACTCCAGCCTGGCCAACAGAGCTGGACCTTGTCTAAAAATAAAAAAGTAAAGAACGCTTACATTGTCCACAGTCAAAATCATCTGGCAGCGCAGTAAACTGCACACTTCATGATAGCATGGCAGGCTGGGAACCTCAGCTTGTTGCCACTGCTCAGCATTGCCAGAGAGTATAGTTCTGTATGTCACTAGCCTGGGAAACATTTAAAATTTGAAGTACAGTTTCTACTGAATTGTGTGTCATTTTCGCACAATTGTAAGTTAAACCATTGCAGGTTGGGGACTCTCTGCATACATATATATTTATGTGTATAGATAGATATAGAGAGCTGTTGCTCAGGAAACAGTTGATACAGGAAGGAATAAACAAATGGGAATTTCAAGGTTTATAGTTTTACTGTTATTGTTAGTTTAAGGTATTTTCTTGTCAAAATAGCCAAGAGATGTTTGAGCTACACAGAGTCACGAAAACTTCTTTCAGGGCCAGTATACTCATAGGGAAGATTGTGATTTGGGTATGGTTAGCTTGCCTTGCTTAGAGAAGTTCCAGGGAATTCATGTTCAGCATTTTTTTTTCTTTGTTTTTCTTTTGGAGTCAGAGTCTCACTTCATTGCTCAGGCTGCAGTGCAGTGGCGCCATCTTGACTTACTGCAACCTCTACCTCCCCCGTTTAAGCAATTCACATGCTGCAGCCACCTGAGTAGCTGGGATTACAGGTGTGTGTGCCACCATGCGTTGCTAACTTGTATTTTTAGAAGAGACGAGGTTTCACCATGTTGGCCAGGCTGGTCTCAAACTCCTGACCTCAGGTGATCCACCTGTGTTGGCCTCCCAAAGTGCTGGGATTACAGTGATGAGCCACTGTGCCCAGCCAGCATTTTTTTCTTTGAAAGACTTGTGCTCCTAAGCAAAACCCTTGGTGATTCTAATGCCTCTTGTCCTCCTCCTAGCACCCCTGCAGTGGACCATGAGTCGGTAATGCCCACTGAGGACCTCTGGGAGCCATGTCAGACGAATCTGCCTCAGGGAGCGATCCAGACCTGGACCCGGACGTGGAGCTGGAGGATGCGGAAGAGGAGGAGGAGGAGGAGGAGGTGGCAGTGGAGGAGTGTGACAGGGATGATGAAGAAGACCTGCTGGATGGTAAGTGAGCTCTATTGAGTGACAGAGATTGCCTTATATTTTCCTTCAATGGAATTTTTGCTGGGAGAGCTTGGTGTTTCCTGTTGGATTTCTTAGGCCATCCATAGTAAGAAGACATAGACTAGGAACTGAGTTGCAATGAACTTAGATATTCGTTCCTAGGAAATGGATTATTGTTCCTCCACATAAGCTTTGTTTTATTGCTGGAAGAACCTTTAGCCGTTAGCTCATTTTTGATGGATGTATGGACTCAGGTCCAGAGATTACAGAATGTTGCATACTTGCCTGGGTCATGAAGGAGTCAGTGTCAGAGTCCCTGTGGTAAGACTTTGCAGTCAGGAGGCCATGGGCTCTTCAGGTAGACATGAGGGTAACTGTGAGTGGTCTGTAAGTTTTCTGAAATTATACGTTACACTTCTTCTTGTAGGTATGTGAGGGAATTGTCTGGGCAGAGATTCCCAGACAGGTTCACAATTTCAGAAAGCTCACTGCATTTCCTGCAGTGCTGCTCTACCTCTTGGCCATTCCAGTGACCATAAACTGCTCCTACTGGGAGGGTACCACATCACCATAACTGGTAGGCCCCCTTTTGATGCCTTCTATTTGGTTTGCTCAGCTCACTCCTCTTTTTCCCTCAGCTCCTTGAAAGGCATTGGACTTTTTCTTTTAATGTTCATTCTAATGTTAGGTCATTTGGCTAGCTACAGGGCTTCTCAATTAATTCCAGCCTTTTACGGCATAGGATTTAGTTGTTTGTAAGCTTCCTACTGACTGAGGAATAGGGTTTTTGTCTGTTCATAGCCGACCCCCTAGTGGAACTGAACGTTGCATTAGATCATCTAATTACTTGAATCTGAAGGAACGTAGGAAAATGTACTCCTACCATTCTTCAGATTCCAGGAGGATGAGCACTGATCCTCTGTCTTTGCTGATGTTTACTATCTTCATTTCTCATTCATCCTAACAGCTGTCATATGGCTTGGGAGTCCCTTTGCCCTCCTTTATACTGTCCAGAAATCTCTGCTCCATTTCTGCAGGGAAATGACCATTCACTTTTATCCCCTTTAATAGCATTTGCTGTCCATTGCTAGCTTCTTCAGTTGGAGTCTCATTTCTAGAAAGTAGAATGAATAGAAATAATGGAAGACAGTAATGTTTACTTGGCTCTTACTGTTCCTGCAATGATGTTAGAGTCCCTAGGTGTCAGCATCACTTTTTGCTTTTCATCATTTTGGTTCTCATAATTTTATTTACAGATACCCCTAGTACTCCCATCAGGTTTAGATTGGATTTTAGATGCTTCTGGTGAGTATAATGGATATATACACACTATCTTCCCTGTTGGCTTCTTGGTATTCTCTTTTCCTTGTAAAATTCTTAATTATTCAAAAATTATATGGTAGGCTTCTGTGGACTTTATTATTTATTTAGAAATGACAATAATTTAATTATGATTTGTCTCAGAATAGTGTAGCTATGCAATTGGTTTTTAAAAATATTACTCCTGTGACAGATTAAATTTGGGTTTTTAAAAACAATATTTACGCAATTATCACATTAATACTTTTTTTTTTTTTTTTTTGAGACAGAGTTTCGCTCTTGTTATCCAGGCTGGAGTGCAATGGCGCGATCTCAGCTCACCACAACCTCCGCCTCCCGGGTTCAGGCAATTCTCCTGCCTCAGCCTCCTGAGTAGCTGGGATTACAGGCACGCGCCACCATGTCCAGCTAATTTTTTGTATTTTTAGTAGAGACGAGGTTTCACCATGTTGACCAGGATGGTCTCGATCTCTTGACCTCGTGATCCACCCGCCTCAGCCTCCCACAGTGCTGGGATTACAGGCTTGAGCCACTGCGCCTGGCCCACATTAATACTTTTTAAAAATTTTGAAATGACTTATTTTTATTGAAGTTCAGAGTGATAAACAAACATTCCATTAGGCACTATGTCCTGCTGTGCTCTGTTAGGTTAACTGACTTGTTGGAATTTGACTCAAGGACCAGTTTTTATATTTCACTACAGTGTTAAGAGCCACAAAAGTACTTGTGGTGATTTTGACCCTATTTTACCTCTTAAAGCTTTTCTTTTCCTCTCATGTTGAGCAGTCTATGCAATTTTCCTGAAAAATCCCAGACCTGCCTCTTTCTTTAGTCTTGTCCTTGCTGCCATCCCATAGTCATGGGCAAAGCAGCCAGCTATTTTACCATTAAGAATAGCAATGAAGGCTGGGTGCGGTGGCTCACACCTGTAATTCCAGCCCTTTGGGAGGCTGAGGTGGGCAGATCACCTGAGGTCGGGAGTTCGAGACCAGCCTGACCAACATGGAGAAACCCTATCCCTACTAAAAATACAAAATTAGCCAGGTGTGGTGGCATATGCCTGTAATCCCAGCTACTCGGGAGGCTGAGGCAGGAGAATCTCTTGAACCTGAGAGGCGGAGGTTGTGGTGAGCCGAGATCACACCATTGCACTCCAGCCTAGGCAACAAGAGCAAACTCCCTCTCAAAACAAAAGAAAATGAACAAACAAAAAAAATAGCAATGAATAATCTAGTCTTGGTATAGTGTGATGTGGCCCTTTTGTTTTCTTAGAGCAGTGGTTCTCAACCTGGTATGATTTTGCTTCTTAGGGGACAGTTTATAATGTGTGAAGACATTGGTTGTCAGGGTTCTTGGGGGTAGGGTGAGGATGCTACTGTCATCTAGTGGAAAGAGGCTGAGGATGCAACCAAGCACCCTACAATGCATAGAACAGCCCCCAGCCCACCCTAGCAATTATCTGGCCCCAATGTCAATAGTACTGAGATCTGAAAAACCATTTCACAAAGGAAACTTGCTTCAGTCCTTTCTATTTGAAGTTTCATCTCTGTTGGATAACCATAGCTTACTTTTATATTGTTTGTCATAGTTTACACAAGCATGTGAACAATCTTATTCTTTTCACAAACTGTCTTTTGGCTGTGGTGTATTTTGTTTGTTTTCGTTGTAATTTCTACTTTAAAATTTTCTATTTCTTTTGGGTTTATTTTGCCTTTCAGATTTCTCAAGAATGTGCATAGCCCATTAATTGTCAGATGTTTTTCTATGTAAGCATTTAAAGCTTTCTTTCAAACTTCTTAAGAATGTGTATAGCTCATTAATTTTTAGATTTTTTTTCTATGTAAGCATATAAAGGTATAATTTTCCCTATAAGCTTCAGCTCCATTCCCCCACAAGCATTTTGACACACTTTATCATACTTGTCTGTCTGTTTTTTTTTTTTTTTGAGACAGAGTCTTGCTTTGTCACCCAGGCTGGAGTGCAGTGGTACGATCTCGACTCACTGCAACCTCTGCCTCCCAAGTTCAAGCAATTCTCCCACCTCAGCCTCCTGAGTAGTAGCTGGGATTACAGGCATGTACCACCATGCCTTGTTAATTTTTTGTATTTAATAGAGACAGGGTTTTACCTTGTTGGCCAGGCTGGCCTCACAGGTGATCCGCCCACCTCAGACTCCCAAAGTGCTGGGATTACAGGTGTGAGGCACCGTGCCTGGCCCATACTTAATTGTCTGGATAATCTTATATGTTAGGTAGAGTAGATACATTTTACAGATGGGGAAACTGAGGCCCATAAAGGTAAATGGCTTACTCAGCAAGAAAGTGGCAAAGCTGGACTTCTGGTCTTCAAGGCAGTGCTCCTTTTTCAAACCAATGCTGCTTCTGAGACCATAGATTCTTATAATTCCCTTTCTTGTGATATGTTCGCTTTCCTTCCTAGTTTGTGCTTTGAGGAAAGAAGGTGATTGCTGATATTGTTGAGCAGAGATGGAAGGACAGTTAGAAGTAACAGCATGAATAAGTCAAAGTAGAAGGGAAAGTATGGCAAATGCTAAGGAATGAAGAGCTGTCTTATTCATTAATGCACTGGGCATGTTAGGGGGATCACCAGAGTGAGACTGGAGAGATGACCTGTGGTCAGATCGTGGAGTAGTTTAGAATTTGTTTTATAGGCAACACGGAATTGATGGTGCTTTTACTGAGGAGCATCCATCAGACCTTTGACTTTAGGAATGTTACTCTAGCACCATATCAAAGACATGGCCTGTAGACAGGGAGTATCAATTAGCTCTGTAGTAGAACTTTATGGAAAATAGTAATGAGGATTGGAACTGTTTGGGTCAGTTAACCACACAAGAGGAGTAAATGGTCAGACTTTTTGCACTGGATATTATAGGACTTGGTGACTTACTGGATTTGTAGGCAGATTGAAGAGGTAAAAACCTAGGAAGAGGATGAGATCTTTTACAAAGGTGAGATTAACAGGATAAGGAGTGGATGGGGGAGTTATTTATTTTTGGCTTTGCTACAATAAGTCAGGGCATTGTTTCCTCCTTGATAATGACCGTTGTATGTTGAATAGTGGGATATGAGTGCAAGAACTGGTTATTATTATAGAACACTGAGGTTTGGCTGTTGGAAAACAGCTCCATGACTTTGTCTTCAAACCAACCTGCAAGTGAGGAGAAGCTAGTGCTTTTTTGTTTATAACATGTTAGAGGACCCATGACATGTTGTGAGACATTTTAGATTTGGTTTTTCATCCCCCTCTTTTTCTTTTCTCCTGATACGTGTGCTTAGCTCTCTCTGTTCTTTTGGAATGGTAGGGAATGTTGGGTGTTAACACCTTTGGGGTCTGTTATTAAAGGTAGAGGTTCAAAATTTGATGCCTCTGGGATTGGTTTTCCTTGTGTAATGGTTTTTCTTTCTTTCACTTATTCATTCTTTTTCTTTGAGACAGGGTCTCACCCACGGTCGCCTAGACTGGAGTTTAGTGGTATGATCATGACTCACTGCAGCCCCCCAGGCTCAGGTGCTCCTCCCACCTTAGCCTCTCAGGTAGCTGAGACGACAGGAGTGCATCACCGTGCCCAGCTAATTTTTAAAATTAAAAGAAAAAATTATTTTATTTGTTTATTTTATTTTGATACGGATTCTCACTCATTTGCCCAGGCTGGAGTGTACTGGAGTGATCTTGGCTCACTGCAACCTCTGCCTCCCAGTTCAAGTGATCCTCCTGCCTCAGTCTCCCGAGTAGCTGGGATTACAGGCATGTGCCACCATACTTGGCTAATTTTTCCTTTTTTTTTTTTCAGTAGAGACTGGGTTTTACCATGTTGGCCAGGCTGGTCTTGAACTTCTAACTGCCAATAGTCTACCCACCTCAGCCTCCCAAAGTGCTGAAATTACAGGCTTTTTAAACATTTTTTAAAAATGGAGATAGGGTCTCTCTATGTTGCCCAGGCTGCTCTTGAACTCCTGGGCTCAAGCAATCCTTTTAGCTTGGCCTCCCAAAGTGCTAGGATTACAGGTATGAGCCCACACCTGGCCAAGCTAATTTTTTTTTTTTTTTCTGCAGAGACAGGGTTTTACCATGTTGTCCAGGCTGGTCTCCAAACTCCTGGCCTCATTTATTGACTTATTTATTTATTTATTTATTTTTGAGACAGAGTTTCACTCATGTTACCCAGGCTGGAGTGCAGTGGCGCGATCTCGGCTCACCACAACCTCCGCCTCCCGGGTTCAGGCAATTCTCCTGCCTCAGCCTCCTGAGTAGCTGGGATTACAGGCACGCACCACCATGCCCAGCTAATTTTTTGTATTTTTAGTAGAGACGGGGTTTCACCATGTTGACCAGGATGGTCTCGACCTCTTGACCTCGTGATCCACCCGCCTCGGCCTCCCAAAGTGCTGCGATTACAGGCATGAGCCACCACGCCCAGCCGTATTTATTTATTTTTTTGAGATGGAGTCTCACTCTTTTGCCCAGGCTAGAGTACGGTAGTGTGATCTCAGCTCACTGCAACTTCTGCCTTCCGGTTTCAGCTTCCTGAATAGCTGGGATTGTAGGAGCCTGCCACCATGCCTAGCTAATTTTAGTATTTATAATAGAGACGGATTTTCACCATGTTGGCCAGGCTCAAACTCCTGACCTTGTGATCCTCCTGTCTCGGCCTGCCAAAGTGCTGGGATTAGGCATGAGCCACCATGCCTGGCCCAGCCTTTATTTTAAAAAGTTTATTTCCAGTTGCTGGTTAATGTATGTTCCAGTGGATGTGAAAGTCTGAATGGTTGATACATGTCGCAGGTAGAGTCATATGTTTTTGTGGCTTTGTAAAGGGATTTTCCAGTGTATTGCTGGTTCATTGGGACATTTATTTCCTTGATGTCACTTCACTGTTTTTTGTTTTGTTTTCTTTTTTGAGATAGTCTCATTCTGTCATCCAGTCTGGAGTACAGGGGCACAATCTTGGCTCACTGCAAACTCCGCCTCCCCAGTTCAAGCAATTCTCCTGCCTGAACCTCCTGAGCTGGGATTACAGATGCACACCACCATACCCGGCTAATTTTTTGTATTTTTAGTCGAGACGGGGTTTCACCATGTTGGCTGGGCTGGTCTCAAACTCCTGACCTGAAGTGATCCACCCAACTTGGTCTCCCAAAGCACTGGGATTACAGGCATGAGCCACAGTACCTGGCCTCACTTCACTCTTTAAGCTTGCAGTAGACTCTTCCTTAATGGTTGATGGCTCTGTCAACTGTCTGTGATAGAGAGCCCAGACCAAGAGAGATGTCCAAGGGTCTGTCAGTCTGTACAAATGGCAACAATCCTAACATTATTTCTCCAAAGTAGTTTCTTATCCTTCTGCAACAGGGAAACACGGGAGAAAAATAACTAAAGGTTGGATGGTAAAGGAGACTCTTAGAATTTAATATGTTTTCTTTGTTTAAGAAGAACTTCATGTGTCTTATTTATTCAGATTTATGGATCTAGTTCCTAGTTTCACTCCAGATTTTCAGTTATTTTCCAGATATATATCAAATCGTAGTTAATAATGAGATTCCCCTCTCCACTACCTCTTGCATTTCTTTTAGGTTACCCTTTTACTTACGTGGATATTTGCAAGAAAATGCCAGATGTCCCAATTCTTTTCCTCCAGTGCTTTTACTTTCTTACCTGTGCTGGTTTATTTGGTCTTTGGTTCTCCAAGAAGGTATCCTGGGCCACCACCATTCTTTTCTTCTGAGAACACACTGCTCATCGAAACTGTTTGGCTTACATTGTGGATAGCCACGTTTGGCTAAGACAAGATTAGGGCTTTTCTCAAGAATTTTATTGTAAAACAAATCAAAGCCCAGGCCAGAATCTACAGACATTAAGTAACTTACTGGTTATTCTAAGAATGATTGCTATTTTCCAACTTAGTTCCTCCATTTGTGGTTGGGGGTAACTGGGAGCTTATGGAGCTTTAGGATGAACTTGACAAACTTGTTGGAATGTCAGATTTATTGGAAGATTGGTGAAGTGGTGTCAAGGTTAGGAGTTTCGGTACTTTAACTGGTAAGGAATTTAAGTGGTTGTTTTTTTTTTTTTTTTGGAGACAGAGTCTTGCTGTGTTACCCAGGCTGGAGTACAGTGGTGCGATCTTGGCTCACTGCAACCTTTGCCTCCAGGGTTCAAGCGATTGTCCTGCCTCAGCTTCCTGAGTAGGTGGGATTACAGGTGCATGCCACCATGTCTAGCTAATTTTTGTATTTTTAGTAGGGATGGCGTTTCACCGTATTGGTCAGGCTGGTCTCAAACTCGTGACCTTATGATCCACCACCCTTGGCCTCCCAAAGTGCTGGGATTACAGGAGTGAGCCAGTGTACCTGACCCTAAATGTTTTTTATAATGAAAATTATGACATAGAAATCAGAATTCGCATACATTTTTAAAGATGAAGTAAAATATTTTATCCAGGTGTGGTGGCTCACGCCTATAATTCCAGCACCTTGGGAGGCCGAGGCAGGCGGTTTACCTGAGGTCGGGAGTTAGAGACCAGCCTGGCCAACATGGTGAAAGCCCATCTCTATTAAAAATACAAAAATTAGCTGGGTGTGGTGGCGGGTGCCTGTAGTCCCAGCTACTCGGGAGGCTGAAGAATGAGAATCCCTTGAACCTGAGAGGCAGAGGTTGCAGTGAGCTGAGATCATGCCATTGCACTCCAGCCTGGGTGAGAGAGCAAGTCTCTCTCTCTCTCAACAAAAAAAAAAAAAAAAAAAAAAGAAAGAAGATATTTCTTCAAATAAATATTGGATTTGAGTGCTTTGGGTGGTGCCCCAAGAGTCCCAAAGGGAAGAGAACATTTTGTCTTGGCATTTTTTAGGACCCCTCGGGTGGAAAAGTTTGATAAGCACTAGTTTAAGTTAATCAAGGTCTGGTCACCAGACTGACTTGTCGGGTACATCTTTAGAACATATAGATCTTCTTTTCTTCATTTTATTCTTGTGTATTTTACATGGCATATCAGGATACTAGGATCATTTAATTGCAGCTAGTTACATGGTACCATTAGTTCTTTCTAGAACTTGCCTCGTAGCCTTCTTGTTGACAAAAAGCCAGTTTCCTTGTTAACTTTGGCCTCAGGCTGACCCCCTTAATCATGGACCACTGGGTAAGGAAAGCTGGTTTCCTTCTCAAACCCTGGGCTTCTGATTCTCCTGTAGGGAGCTTGCTTTTGTTTTTTTGTCCTCTGACCCCCTTCTGTTCTCTTTCCTTGCAATTTGAAGAATTGGGTAAATTGTTCTAAGCAAAGGCCTTACATGAGAATAAATTTGCTTGTTTAAAAATCAGGAAATTAGGTCAGGTAATCCTGTAATCCCGGCACTTTTGGAGGATGAGGCAGGCGAATCACTTGAGCCCAGGAGTTTGAGACCAGCCTCGGCAACATAGTGAGACCTCATCTCTAAAAAAAATACAAAAAAATTAGCTGGGCATGGTGGTGTTTTACTGTAGTCCCAACTACTTGGGAGGCTGAGGTGGGAGGATTGTTTGAGTCCAGGAGGTTGAGGCTGCAGTAAGTTGTGATCCTGCCACTATACTCCAGCCTTCGTGACAAAGTGAGACCCTATCTCAAAAAAAAAAAAAAAGGCTGGGCACAGTGGCTCACGCCTGTAATCCCAGCACTTTGGGAGATCAAGGCAGGTGGATTACTTGAGGTCAGGAGTTTGAGACCAACCTGGCCAGCATGGTGAAACCCCATCTCAACTGAAAATACAAAATTTAGCTGGGCGTGGTGGTACGTGCCTGTGGTCCCAGCTACTTGGGAGGGTGAGGCAGGAGAATTGCTTGAACCTAGGAGGTTGAGGTTGCAGTCAGCCAAGATCTTACCACTGCACTCCAGCACTCCAGCCTGGGTGACAGAGCGAGGCTCCATCTCTACTTAAATATATAGATTGATAGGGAGACAGACAGACAGGCAGACTCAAGTCTGGGTGACAGAGTGAGGCTCCATCTCTAAATAAATACATAGATAGATAGGTAGATAGATAAAATATATTCTTTATATATATATATATATATATATATATATGCACACACACACACACATATATATATATATATGAACACATATATATATATATATGAAGAAATGGAAAAAAATCAGGAAATTAGAGGCCATTGTGGCTAGAGTATAAAGAGTTAGTTGTCTAGCAGAGGGCAACAGTGCCTGGAATGAGATAGGCAAGGCACCTGGAATGTAGGGCCAGTGTTGGTGGTTTGAGAGATGCCCAGAACCCTGGTTTTATTTGCTTGTGTTCTAACACGTGTTATTTAAGACTCTCACTATGAGTTCTGAACATATCAGTAAATAACAGTCTGCAGGAAAAGTCACGCTCTCTGAGTAGCTGGAAGCAGAAAAAGTATAGGGGAACCCCTAGAGTTTTAACTAAGATCGGAATAGGTAGTTTTTTGTTTCATAAAGAATTGCCTCTGAGAGGAGTAGTTTCAGCAATCCAATTGGAATCCTAGCCAATATTTTCCTCCCTCCTGTGGAAACCCAGGGCCCAACACAAGGCAGCATAGGTCATGGAGATTATAGTTTTCACCATTTATTATGGCCTGTCATATTAAGCATTCCTGTTTTGAACCCAGATTTTCTTTTCTTAAAAATAGCTTCAAATAAATGTTATGAACCCCGTGATTTCCTAATGTCCTAGATTATTCTTTGGAAAATATGTCTGGGGTTGGGATAGTATTTCAAAATTTATAATACCAAACTCCTTATTGACCCCATCCCCGGACTCTTTTTGGGGACAGAGTCTCACTCTGTCTCTTAGGCTGGAGTGCAGCGGTAGAATCGTGGCTCACTGCAGCCTTCACCTCCTGGGTTCAAGTGATCCTCCTGCCTCGGCCTCCTAAGTAGCTG